CCCGGCGACTCACAAACATCTCTCGGGCTGCAGATAGCCGGTGCGTGAAAACACTACAGCACGTGTTCAGAGCTCCAAGGATTTTCTGCCGAACGCTTTCTGCATTTTCAGCCATCAAAGCTCAGAGAAAGCTCGAGGGCCCCCACCATTAGCGCGTTTGTTCTGTCTCACTAGCTGCGCAGCCAAAGCTTCACTCCACGAATGTGCCACGCGGCTGTCTCAAGATGTTCTGGTTCACATTCCGGACAGGAAGGCCCTTCGATCTGCCCGCGAATGAGATGTCGTTCTCCAGTAAAATGCATTTCACGACAATCTCCCCCGACAAATTTTCGAGAAAACTGAATGCCGCGATGAACTATTGGCAACATTGAATTGTAATGACGCACTTTGAATGCGGCCTCGGATGTCCATTCTCGCAAAGGTCCAATCTTCCACATATGGCGACGCCCCTCACTGCTGCATAAACCCTCCGCTTGAGATCTCTGCCTGCCCCTGCCGGCCGCCGCCGCCACCCGCCACTCTGCCTGCCACAAAGCAGCACGCGGCGGCAGCGGCGGCGGCGGCGGCGCGCCCGTCATGCGCCACCTCTGTCTGCGCCTGCTGCCGACGCCGGCCGACCAGGTACAGACGTCCGCGGGGCACGGGGCCCGGGGACGCGGGAGCGCGGGGGCCGGGGGCGCGGGGCGCAGAGACGCAGGGGCGCAGAGACGCAGGGCGCGCAGGGCGCAGAGACGCAGGGGCGCGAGGGCGCGGAAGTACGGTGGCGCGGGGGCCGGGGCCCGGGGCGCGGGGCCCGGGGCACGGGGCCCGGGGCCTGGTCCGGGGGCGCGGGGGCGCGGGGCCCTGGGGCCGGGGCGCGTCCAGATCATGCGCCTCCCTGCCGCTCGCCCGCCGCCCCACAGACGATCAATCGCCGGCCGACTGCATACTGCAGCCGGCAACGATATTGCGGCCCACAACGGGCATACCGCATCCCGCGCCGGGCATATTGCAGAATGCAGAGCACACAAAGCGGGCGTCGCCGGCGCCGGCGCCCAGATCCGGCTGGGCTTCCAAGGATGGGATCGATGGGATGGGAAGTTCGTGGCGCGCCGACTAAAAGAAGCATCGCGGCCGTGAAGGCAAGCAGCGCGGCGGGGCCGATGATGTGGCACTGGAGTTGTGTCAGCTGCGAGATGGAATGGCTGCCACAAGGAGAGGTGTGTGAAACACCCAGCTCGCGAGCTTTTCTAATTGACACGGCGGAAACAAGGGACGGCGGGCCTGTGGGAAAGGCGGCTGACCATCACGTACGAACAGCACGAGAGCAGACACTACGACCAGCCTGACCGACCCAGAATCCCAGCCCGTTGTCATCCTCGATGCATAGGCACGCCCCCGGGAACGCTTCCGCACGTCTCCCTGTCGCGGCGCTCGGCACGGGAAGTGCCAGCGGCGGCGGCGGCGGCGTCGTCTGACGGGCGCCACCTCTGGGGAGCGCCGCTCCGCCAACCAGGGGCGCCCTGGGCCCGGCCACACGTGGCAGTGCTCCCTGAGAGGGGGGGGGGGGCGGGGGGGGGGGGGGGGGGGGGCGTGGGGGGGGGGGGGGGGGTGGGGGGGGGAGGGGGGGGGTGGGGGGGGGGGGGGGTGGGGGGGGGGGGGGTGGGGGGTGGGGAGGCGGCGTTCACTGGCGAAGGAGATCGGCCAGCCGGTTCAAGCTCGACAGGCCTGCCAGGCGGCCCGCTCGGCGCCCGGCGCTGGCTCCACTACTGCCAGCGCGGTCCGAGGGCGTAGTCAGCTCCGGTTAGTTCTCAGGCGGCTCAGCAAAGTCCCGCGAGAACGGCTCAACTGTTCCGCGGCAGCGGCAGCGGGGTGGAGGGCGCACAGCAAAAGCGACGGTTCACTTAGCGGAAGTTCGCGGTGGCTGGGAAAAGGCCAACTTTAGAACAAAGTCTCGGGCACGCGATGGTACCAGAAACAGAAAGCGATGCCGACATCGTGCCGCTACTCATATATCAGCATCGTTTTAATAGATTTTATAAAACCTATGTGCGGCATCACCAGCGTATACTCGCAGGATCTAAGGAGGTAATGAACGAAAAAAAACACAGCAAAGTTTGTGGGGCAGCAAATCATGTGCGCATTGTGTTATATTTGAAGCTTGAATTTGTTTATTTCCGCATCGCTCTCTTGTCAGTCGCGATAAGCATATCGTACACTTCGAGCGCTGGCATATGCGTTTTTCCCAGTATGCGGTTAAAATTTTCCTCAGGAGGGGTGGGGGGCGGGCAAATGCCACTTTTCTCAGATATCCTGGGAATTTAGCCCCAATTCCTGCGAAATCTGCCAGCATGTAATGAAAAACCCTTGGCTCGGGGGCGGGAGCATGGCCCCTCCCCATTTGCTGAAAAATACTTCACAAAGAAAGTCGCGATGCCCTTTGTTTTAACAACGATATCCCGGCTTGCCTGGAAACTCCAGCACACCTCCGCCAACCGACCCTACCAGCGACCGAACCTGGACCTAAGCCAACCGACCCTACCAGCGACCGGACCTGGACCTCCGCCGCAACCGACCCCTACCAGCGACCAGACCTGGACCTCCGCCATCGACCCCTACCAGCGACCAGACCTGGACCTCCGCCAAATCGACCCCTACCAGCGACCGGACCTGGACCTCCGCCAATCGACCCCCTACCATCGACCGGACCTGGACCTCCGCCAATCGACCCCTACCACAGCGACCGGACCTGAGCACGTCCCTCGCGCGTAGCGGCCCGCCGCCAGACGCTCACCGAGGAAGGCCAGGCTGACAGCGTTGGACTTGGCCGGACATTGGACGCCACCTTGGTGACGAAGCCGAGCGTGCCCTCGAGCCTATGAAGAGCTGCTTCAGGTCGTAGCCGGTGTTGTCCTTCTTCATGGCAGACATGAGGTCGACCACCTCCCCGTCAGCCAGCACCTGCGGCCGGGTAGTCAGCACATGTAACAGCCGTCCTGAGGTCGATTACCTCCCCGTCAGCCAGCACCTGCGGCCGGGTAGTCAGCACATGTAACAGCTGCCCTGAGGTCGATTACCTCCCCGTCAGCCAGCACCTGCGGCCGGGTCGCCAGCACATTTAACAGCCGCCCTGAGGTCGACCACCTCCCCGTCAGCCAGCACCTGCGGCCTGGTAGCCAGCACATGTGACAGCCGCCCTGGGGTCGACCACCTCCCCGTCAGCCAGCACCTGCGGCCGGGTAGCCAGCACATGTGACAGCCACCTTGAGGTCGATCACCCGCCCATCAGCCAGCACCTGCGGCCGGGTCGCCAGCACATGTAACAGCCGCCCTGAGGTCGATCACCTCCCCGTCAGCCAGAACCTGCGGCCGGGTAGCCAGCACATGTGACATCCGCCCAGGACGCTGCAGATGCCAGCCGACCCGAGCGCGACACCGGCCGGCAGCTTTTATGATGACCTTTCAACGCGACGCACCGCTCGTTCGCTGTCGGTGCGCTCGGCGTGAGGCTGAGCTCATGCGCAGGCAGCCGGGGCACCAGCACTGCACTCCGTCAGCTTCGCACTCTCCCACACACTCTCATCTCACATTGCCGCGTTCATTGATGCAACCCTGAGACACGGGACACTCCGCAGGCAACCAGGACACACCCAGACAACAACCCAGCACCACCCGAACAGGATAGCCGGGAGGGGCCTAGCGCAGCAGCAACCCGAATCAGCTAACCCAGGGCAACGCCACAGCGGCGCCAGAGCAGCACCACCGCACCACAGCACAGCACAGCACCGCCCCGCCGACGGTCCGCCGCCAGGCACTCCACCGCCTCCAGGCCCGAGCACCGTGCCGTGCAGGGTTGCCATAGCGGAAGAGCCGCAGGCCGCCGGCGTTGGTGGACACGTTGCCGCCGATCTGGCAGTGCCCTTGGCGCCCAGGTCCCACGGGCCGCGATTGTAGCCGCGCTCGCGACGTACGTGTCCAGCGCCTCTAGCACCAGGCCGGCCTCGCAGGTCAGCGCGCCTGGGGAGCAGGTCAGGTCAGGTCAGGTCAGGTCAGGGCAGGGCAGGCAGGGCAGGGCAGGGCAGGCAGGCAGACAGGACAGGGCATGGCAGGGTACGGCACGGTACGGGCAGGGCAGAAGTGTCGCTAGACGACGGCGCGGTTTTAGGGCACGCCGACATCGGAGATCATTGTGCGCCGGGCAGGTCGTCGACCCTGAGAAAGAAGTCAGGTGCGTGGCGAGCGTTCAGGACGGCTACGACCTCGTTCGTCGACAGCCTGGATGCAGTGGCCAAGTCAGGTGGTGTCAGGGGCGACGTGGAGTATCACCCTGGATGCAAGGACCAAGTGAGGAGGTCTCAAAGGCGACGCGGGGCATCACTGGCTGACATCACGTGGGGCATCCCAGCGCGACCGGCACGCGACCGGTCTCATGTGCCGGCGCCCCTGGGGCACAGGTCAGGTCATGGGTGCGGTGGCAGTCGCTGGGCGGCTGTGAAGTTAGACGGGAGTGGGTGGGTGGGTTATACTTTACAGGGATGAGACTATTGGCGATACATCATGAACAGGCCAGTTATGACAGGCAGCGATGTTTCAACCAGAGCGGACATCGGTGGCTTAACAAGTTGCCAAAACCCGTTACCAGGCTCGAATCACGCAGTGTGGAGGCAGGATGGAAAAAAACGTAACAGACAAACATAACGTCGGTCTCATCACGGCGCATTCGTGATCTTCCGACGTTCATAAAGGCCCAGCCTGGAAAAATAACACTTCATTCATTGCTACACGCTGCTACGTGTTTGTGCCGTAAGCTGACGCCTGCCTTGTGACCTCAGACTCCACCAGCGTTTAACACAACACACACGCAACACGCGCACGCCCGCACACGTACGCCATGCACACCTGCATGAACTCCCGCCTGCCCGCACGTACGCACGCACGCACGCCACGCACGCGCACGCACGCACGCACGCACGCACGCACGCACGCACGCACGCACGCACACACACACACACACACACACACACACACACACACACACACACACACACACACCACACACCAACACACAATCGCGAGACGCCGTCTCCAGCTGGCGTGATTCCAACGGCGGAACCTCACCCGCGCGGCCTGCTGGCGCTTCGCCTCGTGGTTCACGCGTCACGCCGCCGCCTCGTTCGCCCCGGCTGTCCCGCGACCCGTCCCCCGGTCACCGGACGACCTCACGCCTTCGAGCATGGCTCAGGAGCTTTGTCGTCGATCGCGGTCAGGACCGCGCGACGGCACGACGGCGCGCCGTCCGTCCGTGGCTCGGGACCGCCGACCTCCGGGTCACGCCGTCCGTCCGTGGCTCGGGACCGCCGACCTCCGGGCCATGCCGTTCGGCCGCGGCTCGGGACCGCCGACCTCCGGGCCACGCCGCCCGGCCGCGGCTCGGGACCGCCGACCTTCGGGCCACGCCGTCCGGCCGCGGGTCGGGACCACCGACCTTCCAGGCCGCCCACTCACCAGAAAACTCGTCAAAGTGCAGCACGCGGTTCATCAGCTGTGTGGAGACGATGACCTCGTCGAAGACTGGCACGCCGTTGCCGACGACGGCCGTGTTGCCGCCCTGCGGGCACACCGCCAGGCGGCGGTCGTTGCAGTGTCGCAGAATGCGCGACACCTCCTCGGTGGTGCGCGGCTTCAGCAGCACGCGGCTCTCGCCTGCCGGCACGAGCGAGGCGTCAGCGATGGCGCGGCTTCAGCAGCACGCGGCTCTCGCCTGCCGGCACGAGCGAGGCGTCAGCGATGGCGCGGCTTCAGCAGCACGTGGCTCTCGCCTGCCGGTACGAGCGAGGCGTCAGTGATGGCGCGGCTTCAGCAGCACGCGGCTCTCCCCTGCCGGCACGAGCGAGGCGTCAGCGATGGCGCGGCTTCAGCGGCACGCGGCTCTCGCCTGCTGGTACGAGCGTCGGCGATGGCGCGGCTTCCGCAGCATGCGGCTCTCGCCTGCCGGTACGAGCGTCGGCGATGGCGCGACTTCAGCAGCACGCGGCTCTCGCCTGCCGGCACGAGCGAGGCGTCAGCGATGGGAGCGGTGATGACTGTATCCTGTGGTCCGGGGGCAGGGGGCGAGGCGCCGTGGGTCACTTGTAGGAGGGAACGCGACCCGAGAAGTGCTCATATGGTGTATCATGCCGCGCATGGGGCGGAAATCAAGGTCTAAAACACGTTTTTAGGCCCCATTTCTGGCTTTAACAACCGCAAATAAAGCCAATTTGCTGATCAGAACGGTTATGTGAACAGGATTGAGCTGGCACGCAAGACGCTTTCGTTTTTAACGGGGCAGTTTAGAAGTGGTCAGATCATTCAGATCGCTTAGTTACGTAGTGAGAATCGTGCATCAGAAACATGACATCTTCAAACCACGTACACTCGCGGTCAAATACACCAACCGGGCTGGTTTATCCTTGCCCAAAGTTCACAAGTCGCCATCGCAAAGGCCACACTCCATTCTACACACCACAGAATCCCACCTTCTGCTGGGCATCTTCCGGGCAGCCGGTGACGCTACGGACAGTTTCCGAACAGCGGCACCAGCTGTACACGCCCACACCCCACGCTCACACCACCCATCTCAGCGACAGCGAAGCGGGTCGGCCGCGTGCGGTCGGATGACGAGCCGCTCCAGCCGTTCGGACGCGGCGCACGGCTCCCACCGGCGTCGTCGCGAGCCGTTCCGGCCCGCGGCTGCGCCGGCCCCCGCGTCGAACTTGGCCGCCGGCGCGAGACGCTTCCGACGCGGCCTCCGCCAGCGACCGGGCGTGCCGGCGGCGCGGCGCCACGTCGCACGCGACTCGGCTGCGACGCGCCAGCGCGCACCCCCCGACAGCGGCTTGTCATAGTGTGTTTCGTGTCAGCCGTAGATGGGTGGTTGTGTGGGATTCAAAGGAATTCCTGCGTCGATAGTTGGGCGTGAATCGAACAGGGACAGCTGAAGCGATTCTGGTACAACTGACGCCGGAACCAAAAGCTTTGAGGTTGTTTGATCTGCCCCCGGATAAGGCCCCACAACAGCCGTGGCGCCCACATACAAAACGGCTATAAAATTAACTTATACAAGCCGATTCTGTCATTTGACGCCACCTATACTCCGCGTCGCTCGGCTCGGCGCCGGACATCAGCTAGCATCAGCACGCATAATGCAATCTATGAACTGACAACGATTTGTAATTGAGTTTTCTGAACTCGATTAATTCACCTCAGCCAGCCTCTGCATACCCACCGTCCAGAGGCAAAAAGGCTTCAATGCTATGTTAACTTTTGACTCTTAGGCCTTTTTGCCTCTGGACGGCGGATACATGGATGGACGGAGACGCGTGTGTGTCGGACACGGACGTCGGTCAGTTTGTACCGCATAAGTATCGGTCTGAAAATCTGTACAGAACCTGCGCAGCCACCTGCTCTTTTCGATCATGCACCGAACTGCAGACTCTGCAAGCCAATAGCAAAACGCACATGCGACCAAACGCTAACAAAAGAACCCCAGAGCACGAAATGAGACCACAGTCTTTGAGAATGCACAGAAGCACGACTACGGTAAAATCCTTTACAGTCGAAGCGTGCTGCCACCGGACACCAGGCGCGAGCAGATTACAGCCCCGCACGCTCCCCGACGCCAGGTCACGAGTCCTCGGGGCTGCGGCACCACCGCCTACAACACCGGCCCTTTCCCTGCACGAGTGCCGACAGAGGACGCCCAACCGCTCAGCCGTCCTGGAAAGAGACGCCAGCGTTCACAGGCACAGCGGGGCCCACCACGCGCCCGCCGGCTCTAGATCGTTACAACAGCCATCTCGCCAAAGTTGGCATCCGGCCGTTCGCACGGCCACCAGGCTCGTGCCGCGAGCGGCCCCGTGTAGCTGAGCGGCGGACGATCGGTCGCATTTCTGGCCTGAATGAGGGCAACGCACTCTGAGTACGCGAGACAGCAATAGCCGTCTAACGTATCACAGTAGCCGTCTGACGTCCCTGTAATCTGCCCCCGTCCCTGTCTAACAGTTGTCACTGGAATACCACGGCAAACGCCGAGCCTTACGAGCGTGTACGTTACAGCGTAATTAAATGGGCTCACGTAATCCCACTTCATTACAACTTCTCGACGAAGGCAGACCCAGCAGCTGAACAAGTTTTGGTCTATTTCTTGGGAGGCTTACTCGCGATTTGCACAAAGGGAGGCCACTGGGCTTGCCTCGTTGGCGTGGAATGAAAGCCGTCCCAAGCACACTTTGTTGGGTAGACCCAGAACAAAACGACCAAGCAGTCCGACGTCACTCGAGTTTGCCCGGTTACACAGTATCGATAGGATGCACATCGCGCTTCAAAAGAGCGCATGTACCGCTTTTCCTAGCAATGCCGGGAAACTTCCGTTGTCCAGAGTGCCCAAACTTCAAGCAGCACGTCACTTGACGGTTCGGATTTCTAACCATTCGCTCGGCGCCGTCCCTCAGTATTGAAGGTACAACTGCCGCAACTGAGCTAAAGTTCGTCGCCCCAAACACCATTCAGCGTGCCGTTTGCTCAGCAACAGCGGCGCGCGGCCTGAAGGCTGCGGTTCAGGCTGCTGGAAAACCAGGCGGCGCCCGTTTCGCCGTCGCCGCCGCGACGAGTCCGGACGGTCCAAATCGACGAGCACGGCATCCGCCGGCCGGTCGGCCGAGGCCCGTCCCTCCGGCTGTCGAGCGCGCCTGCATTAGTCACGCGCTAACGGGCTCATGCAGCATTCACGGGCGGCGCGGAGCCCAGCTGGGAGACTCGGGCGACAGCCAGCGAGCGCCAGCTCGAAATCATGACTGAAATGCTCGGCCGGACACCGACATCACCAAACGTCGCACACGGCATGGTCGGGTCCCCGAAGAAGACACCCTTCACGGGTGCTTGGTTGAATCGTATTTTTGGCGTGTTATTTCACTGTGAGCGGGCGGGGCTCGCGGCGCCGCCGCCATCCAACACATGTTTCGCCTCGACCCCACTCGCCGGCCAGCGACCTCGGGCTCGGAACAAGTCGTAGCGAAAGCCGCTTCAGTCTCACAGCGCCGGCGCTTCGTGCGGATTCGGTTTTGATGGCCAGCAGAGGCTGTTTACGGGGCCGTTATGGCGGCCGACCAAAGCATGGCTCAACGCGCTAATGTCTCCCCGAGGAGCGGACTGGGTAAGCGCTCCGATTCACCAGCCCCGCCGACCCGAACTCGACGCTCGCGCCACACGTGTAGCCCACTCCCCCCCCCCCCCCCCCCCCCGTGGGAAATCGACCGATGCTGGGTCGACACCGCCTTTTGCCGTTCGACGACGGCCTCCCAGGCTCCCACATAGTCGCCAGCGTTGTTGAGCGATCTTTCGCGAGCACTGAACATAACGGTCTCGGTCGGGTCTCATATTTTATCGGAACTGTCGTGTTTGTCGGCAAGCGCCTCCACACAAAAGTATAACGGCGGTGGCCTGAGGCGATCTGGGAAGATCAAGGGCAATAACGTGCTTGCGTCTGTCTGGGCTTCAAAGACGAGCATGCCCAAGACATTTTCATCCCGTAATTCTCACGTGGTGAGATTTTCTCTTCATGTGCCAGTCACCGGTCACCGTCGCGTCACGGACGCCACTCAGTCGCGTAAATAATTACACATCCCGGCCAAAACTGAACCTTTCCGGAGTACTTTTAATGCTGATACCAGTCCACCACACGCTCCATGCCCGAATGTACTACCCCGACAGTCTGCCAGCCGCGTAGACCCACTTTCCGGGCCCATCCGCAGACACTGCCCAGTGTCCAACCGCCCCTCCCACCTGATGCCCGTACCTCGACAGGTGCGCCACCAGCCGGTGACTGTACCTTGACAGGTGCGCCACCAGTCAGTGACTGTACGACAGGTGCGCCACCAGTTGATGGCCGTACCTTGACAGGTGCGCCACCAGTCGGTGACTGTACCCCCGCAAATGCGCCACCTATTGGTGATCGTACCCCGACAGGTGCGCCACCTGTTGGTGCTCCTACCTCGACAGGTGCGCCACCAGTTGGTGATCGTACCTCGACAGGTGCGCCACCAGTCAGTGTTGTAAATGTCCAGCTCGTCGGCGGCGGTCACCACGCGGCCGTCGTCCAGAATACGGCGGAACTGCTGCAGGTCGTCGTCCGTCAGCTCGCTGTAGGACCCGCGCGTCACCGGGTAGTGCTCCCGCGTCAGCTGCACGTCCGCCCGCTGCAGACGGAGGAGGGTGTCGATAGGGGGCGTCAGTGTCGGCGGAGGGCACCGTCAGAGGCCGTCAGTGTCGGCGGAGGAGGGCCCTGTCAGCGAGTGTCAGCGTCGGCGGAGGAGGGCGCTGTCAGCGGCCGTCAGCGTCGGCGGAGGAGGGCGCTGTCAGCGGCCGTCAGCGTCGGCGGAGGAGGGCGCTGTCAGCGGCCGTCAGTGTCGGTGGAGAAGGACGCTGTCAGCGGGCGTCATTGTCCGCGGAGAAGGACACTGGCAGCAGCCGCCAGTGTATGTCAATACCACTGTCAGCGAGTGTCAGTGTCGGCAGAGGAGTGCACCATCAGTGAGTGTCAGTGTCAGAAGAGGAGGGAAACATCAGTGAGTGTCAGTGTCAGAGGAGGGCACTGTCGGCAGGCATCAGTGTCAGCGGAGAAGGGTGCCGTCAGCAGCCGTCAGTGTCAGCAGAGGGTGCTGTCAGCAGGTTCAGTGCCAGCAAAGAAGGACACAGTCAGCAGTTCAGGACACATTTTATGGCTTGCTTAGAGTGAGGAAACTTACTCAACTGGTGTTGCCCACTTCCTGGCTAAAGGAGAATGGGCCAAAAGTCTTCAATTATGTTTGGATCATGCTCCCCATATCAAATGGAAACCCTCAGGATCTAACAATGACTGACAGTGGCACAGTCATAGCACCATGTTGCCTAAACCTGGCTTACCATTGGAGGAGTTTGGTGAAGAAGCCTGGTACTGGCTCTAGGTGGATGCCAACATTTGCTTAAAGCAAACCGACACTGGCCCAGGCGGGTAAGCTGCCGCCATGAGCGGTACGCAGGCAGCATGATGTTCTGCAACAAAAAATTAGTTGATGACCATGGCTGTGTGCCCAATGCTGCCTCCTGTAAAATATATGACTCATTTCATATTAGCCTACCACCACCTGCAACAGCACTATGTGAGACATGGAGGTGCATCTCAATATTTTGAATTTAAGATCTTGGAAACTCATTTCACAGATCATAAGAAATGTTGCCAGCCAGAATGGAGAAAGGCCTTTCATAGGCTGGAGAAGCACTCAACTTGTTTGGCTGAGGTTTAACTTGAAGTAGGGTGCAGAGTGGATTTGGTAAGAGTGGAAGCATGGCTTCAATACTTGGGAGCAGGAGCAGGAGTAGGAATAGAAGCAGGATTAGGGACAGGGTCAGGGTAAGTGGCTGTGGTCATGATTTATTGCTTAAGTAGGATTGGCAGTAGGAGTCAAGTTGGGATGATGAGCAGGGTTAAGGTATCTATTAAGGTATTATTAGGTATTTAAGTAGGGCTATTAGTAAGAGTAGTGTTATGCAGCTGTATATGCTTGTTTATCTGTCCCAATAGGCCAGCTTGCTAAAGCACCTGTCTTTGCCTGTCCTCCTTTAAGGAGGGGGTGGGTTCCTGCTGTAGGAACTTATCATTAGCTGCTGACCAGAATGCCCTGGTGGCAGCAGGCATGCTTAAGATTGGGTGATGTTGAAGGGCAGAACATTGGGCAGGACCAACGGTGTCAAACAGACATGTGCCTGGATACCAAGGGAAGATCTAGGATTCCACAGGATCCCATTTAAATGGGATCCAGAGATTTTTGGCATCTGAAAGAAACAGTCTAAATCATCTGAATCCAGTACGAAATCAACAAATAATGGTCAGAAGACATGTTGGATTGGTTGCATTAAGTTGATGCACACATGTACCAAATGCTAAGATGTTGCCCCACTGTCAGCCCCAAAAATTTGAAACGAGCACCCTTCCTATTATTTCTGCATCCCTCCAAACGCGAAGGTGCAGCGCTAATGCTGTGTCCTAACCAACGACTTCAGACGTTCACTGTGCCTAATATTTATACTACCCTCGGTTTTCTTCAAGTACTTCACCTTTTTTAGAAGAAGAAAAATCTCCACCGCGAGCGTTTTACGCGCAGTGCGGCACGGGCTCAACCAGCTCGCGTTAGCAGGATTGCCCGACTTTGAAATCATACAATCCAAACGACATCTTTAGCACCAAAAGTAATGAGCAGGCAATTCACATTATTCACTACGTCGTTTCGACCACTGCTACTCACAATGCTCGCATGATTGCCTATCATCTTCAAGAAATAACCATCTGATAATATAATAATTTCGGCTACAAACAGGTCATACGATTTTTAGCACGCGGACAGCCGACGATTTATAGCATGTACTAAAAGGGCAACATAAGCACCAAATTAAGTACATTCGAGCAATTAAGAAAAGTATCCCAGTTCTTCACATTCGTGTCTCGAATTGATGTTTCCAAATAGACAGCACAGAGAAAAACCCAACAATGTCGGCGGAACTGAAGCATGTCCAGCAGTCTTAAAAAACGGACCAAGCCACGGGAACCAAACACCGAAGCCAAGCCAACGTTTTCGGTGCGGTACATTGACGTCTATTAGCGCAGTGCATCTCATACGCGAGTCCGGATAATGTGATTCACACTTATTAGGACCAAACACATCGTGACGACATTGTCGCTTAAACTACAACACTTGGGTTCAATTAATATGACTACTCTGTTGCCGTGACATGCTGCAATCATGTGCAGAGGGACTGTCGTAGCACCCTCTTAAAGTAGTGCACCTCTTGTACAATTCCAACGAGCAAGGCTTGAAATCGCTCTGACATCTAGAGACATACTCTGCCGAGATAATATGCCAACAGCCACCCTAAGGAAACGGCTCAAGCCTCGGGAAACGAAGACTGAAGCAAGGCCAGCGTTTTCGGTACGGTACATATACGTCTGTTAGCGTAGTGCACCTCACACACGAGTCCGGATAATGCAATTCACACCTTTAGAACTGAACACGTCGTGCTGACAATGTCGGTGGAACTGCAAGACTTCGGTCCGATGAATAAGACTCATGCATTGCCGTGAGATGCTGCAATCATGTCGTGCAGAGGGACTGTCGTAGCACCCTCTTAAAGTAGTGCACCTCTTGCACAATTCCAACGAGCAAGGCTTGAAATCGCTCTGACATCAAGAGACATACTCTGCCGAGATATTATGCCAACAGCCACCCTAAGGAAACGGATCACGCCCCGGGAAACGAAGACTGAAGCAAGGCCAGCGTTTCGGTACGGTACATATACGTCTATTAGCGTAGTGCACCTCACCCACGAGTCCGGATCATGCGATTCACACTTATTAGGACTAAACACATCTTGCTGACGATGTCGGTGGATATGCCAGACCACGGTCCGATGAATAAGACTCATGCATTGCCGTCAGATGTTGCCATCATTGGCGGGCGGACTGCAGTAGCACCCTCTTCAAGTAGTACACCTCTTGTATAATTCCAATTGGCGAGGCCTAGAAACCACTCTGACACCCAAAGACGTTCTCTGCCGAGATAATATGCCAACAGCCACGCTAAGCAAACGGACCAAGCCCCGAGAAACGAAGACTGAAGCAAGGCCAGCGTTTTCGGTACGGTACATACACGTCTGTTAGCGTAGTGCACCTCACACGCGAGTCCGGATCATGCGATTCACACTTATTAGGACTAAACACATCTTGCTGACGATGTCGGTGGATATGCAAGACTTCGGTCCGATGAATAAGACTCGTGCATTGTCGTCAGATGTTGCCGTCATTGGCGGACGGACCGCAGTAGCACACTCTTCAAGTAGTACACCTCTTGTATAATTCCAATTGGCCAGACCTAGAAACCACTTTGACATCCAAAGGCGTACTCCGCCCAGATAACATGCCAACAGCCACGCTAAGCAAACGGACCAAGCCCCGGAAACCGAAGACTGAAGCAAGGTCAGCGTTTTCGGTACGGTACATATACGTCTGTTAGCGTAGTGCACCTCACACACGAGTCCGGATAATGCGATTCACATTTATTAGAACTAAACGCGTCGTGCTGACAATGTCGATGGAAATGCAAGACGTCGGTCCGATGAATAAGACTCATGCATTGCCGTGAGATGCCGCCATCATGTCGTGCAGAGGGACTGTCGTAGCACCCTCTTAAAGTAGTGCACCTCTTGTACAATTCCAGTGAGCAAGGCCTGAAATCGCCCTGACAGCCAGAGACATACTCTGCCGAGATAATATGCCAACAGCCACCCTAAGAAAACGGACCAAGCCCCGGGAAACGAAGACTGCAGCAAGGCCAGCGTTTTCGGTGCGGTACATATACGTCTGTTAGGGTAGTGCACCTCATACACGAGTCCGGATCATGCGATTCACACTTATTAGAACCAAACACATCTTGCTGATGATGTCGGTGGATATGCAAGACTTCGGTCCGATGAATAAGACTCATGCATTGCCGTCAGATGTTGCCATCATTGACGGACGGACTGCAGTAGCATCCTCTTCAAGTAGTACACCTCTTGTATAATTCCAATTGGCGAGGCCTAGAAACCACTCTGACACCCAAAGACGTTCTCTGCCGAGATAATATGCCAACAGCCACGCTAAGCAAACGGACCAAGCCCCGGGAAACGAAGACTGAAGCAAGGCCAGCGTTTTCGGTACGGTACATATACGTCTGTTAGCGTAGTGCACCTCACACACGAGTCCGGATCATGCGATTCACACTTATTAGGACTAAACACATCTTGCTGACGATGGTATAAGGTACGCTGCGCTTATAAATACATATGTACCGTACCGAAAACGTTGGCCTCGCTTCGGTCTTCGGTTTCCGGGGCTTGGTCCGTTCCCTTAGAATTGCTGTTGATACGTTATTTCGGTATAGTGTGTCTTTGGATGACAAAGCGGTTTTTAGGCCTCGCCAACGAATTATGCAAGAGGCGCACTACTTTAAGAAGATGCTACTACAGTCTGTCCGCACATGATGGTGACATCCCACGACAGTGCATGAGTCTTATTCATTGAATCAAACCATTGCAGCTCAACCGACATTGTCGGCACAATGTGTTTATTTCTACTTAGTGTGAATCGCGTTGTAAGGGCTCTTGTTTCAGGTGCACCGCACGACTAAACGTATATGTACCGTACCTAAACCGTTGCCTTTGTTTCGGTCCTCGGTTCCCGGGGCTTGGCTTCGTTCCTCAGGGTTCGTGTCGGGATGTTATCTCAGCGGGGTGTGTCTTTGCCTTTCAGAGTGGTTTTTAGGTCTCGCCAATTGGAATTATACAAGAGGTGTACTACTGTAAGATGGTGCTACTACAGCCTGTCCGCACATGATGGCAGCATCTCACGGCAATGCATCAGTCTTATTCATCGGACCGAAGTCTCGCAGTTCCACCGTCATTGTCAGCACGATGTGTTTAATTTCCATAAGTGTGAATCGCCTGATCCGGACTTGTGCATGAGGTGCACTGCGCTAATAGACGCATATGTGCCGTACCGAAAACGCTGGCCTAGCTTCAGTCTTCGGTTCCAAGGCTTGGTCCGTATCCTTAGGATTTTTATTGGCATATTATCTCGGTAGAGTATGTCTTTGGATGTCAGAGCGGTTTTTAGGTCCCGCCAATTGGAATTATACCAGAGGTGTACTACTTGAAGAGGGCGCTACTGCAGTCCGTCCGCCAATGATGGCAACATCTGACGGCAATGCATGAGTCTTATTCATCGGACCGTGGTCTGGCATATCCACCGACATCGTCAGCAAGATGTGTTTGGTCCTAATAAGTGTGAATCGCATGATCCGGACTCGTTGTGTAAGGTGCACTACGCTAATAGACGTATATGTACCGTATCGAAACGCTGGCCTTGCTTCAGTCTTCGTTTCCCGGGGCGTGATCCGTTTCCTTAGGGTGGCTGTTGGCATAATATCTCGGCAGAGTATGTCTCTGGATGTCAGAGAGATTTCAAGCCTTGCTCGTTGGAATTGTACAAGAGGTGCACTACTTTAAGAGGGTGCTACGACAGTCCCTCTGCACGACATGATTGCAGCATCTCACGGCAATGCATGAGTCTTATTCATCGGACCGAAGTCTTGCAGTTCCATCGACATTGTCAGCACGACGTGTTCAGTTCTAAAGGTGTGAATTACATTATCCGGACTCGTGTGTGAGGTGCACTACGCTAACAGACGTGTATGTACCGCACCGAAAACGCTGGCCTTGCTTCAGTCTTCGTTTCCCGAGGCTTGATCCGTTTCCTTAGGGTGGCTGTTGGCATATTATCTCGGCAGAGTATGTCTCTGGATGTCAGAGCGATTTCAAGCCTTGCTCGTTGGAATTGTACAAGAGGTGCACTACTTTAAGAGGGTACTACGACAGTCCCTCTGCACGACATGATGGCAGCATGTCACGGCAAACGGAGTAGTCATATTAATTGAATCCAAGTGTTGTAGTTTAAGCGACAATGTCGTCACGATGTGTTTGGTCCTAATCAGTGTCAATCACATTATCCGGACTCGTGTATGAGATGCACTGCGCTAATAGACGTCAATGTACCGTACCGAAAACGTTGGCTTGGCTTCGGTGTTTGGTTCCCGTGGCTTGGTCCGCTTTTTAAGACTGCTGGAAATGCTTCAGTTCCGCCGACATTGTTGGGTTTTCTCTGTGCTGTCTGTTTGGAAATATCAATTCGAGACACGAATGTGAAGAACTGGGATACTTTTCTTAATTGCTCGAATGTACGTAATTTGGTGCTTATGTTGCCCTTTTAGTACATGCTATAAATCGTCGGCTGCGTGTTAAAAATCACATGACCTGTTTGTGGCCGAAATTATTACATTATCAGATGGTTATTTCTTGAAGATGATAGGCAATCATGCGAGCATCGTGAGTAGCAGTGGTCGAAACCACGTAGTGTATAATGTTAATTGCCTGCTCTTTATTTTTGGTGCTAAAGATGTCGTTTGGATTGTATGATTTCAAAGTCGGGCAATCCTGCTAACGCGAGCTGGTTGAGCCCGTGCCGCACTGCGCGTAAAACGCTCGCGGTGGAGATTTTTCTTCTTCTTAAAAAGGTGAAGTACTTGAAGAATACCCTACCCTCCACGCACTCACTTTAATAATTACTATCCCTTTGCAATTACCACGCTACTTCCAAGTGCAAACACTCACGCTGGGTTCCTCCGCCACGTCACGCTGGGTTCCTCCCCCTCTACCGCGTCTCGGCTTGGCTGACAAGTTGTTTATGTTTTGATGAACTGTTTCCAGCCTTTCAAGGCTAATCGAATTCGCTCGCTGCTTACTCTTTCGGCGCTCTCGAAGTGTTAACCGAGGTATTCTAATCCCAGGCAACTATTGCGAAATAGCCCAAAAATTTAGGCGAGCACGGCATGCTTTAAGTTGCAATTATATAGTGGCTAACAGATTACACACAATTTATTCAAATAACTGATTCATCCGTTACGAATTTTCAAGGTCAGGCAATAGCATCACATGGTCTAACGTTTATTCTCCTCCAAGCAGGGAACGAACTTCCATTTGGTTATGAAGAACGGGGCTGGAACGTTCCTCCTGCAATGCAAGGTGATTGACAATTTCATATATCAAATCCAAAATGAACAGCGCTTAAGACCAAAGGAATGAAAGCCCGCAGGGTTCGGGGGGACGGGGGGGGGGGGGGGCAAGGACAGACGATCATTCAAGCGGTCACACTCATATTTCAGCGGGCCACCCACTCAAATGTTAATCCATCTGGTTGATGTTGTTAGGTGGGTGTCTGCATTTTCACCCACACAGGCTGACGATGCCCCAGAATGGTTCTATAAGATGCATGGAACAGAGAAATGCCATTATCTTCCAAGGTGAATGCACGAAAAGTTGTAGCACGATGCGTGCGAAAGTGGGAGAGATTATATTGATCGGGTCATGTCAAATTGTGCTTTGTTCTACAACTTACATGCAGGCCGTTCACATTCCGCGTTGCGCATGCAGGAGAGGGTTAAAGGAAGTGATACCGAAGCGTAACATGGAGAAAAGGAGTCATATCGAGGCGCAAGGGGATTGAATAATTGGAAAGGGATGGAATCATTCATGTTCGGAGTGTCATGCTCACCTCGTGTCAATTTTTACTAACGTTTCGGTGGTTCAATCTCGGGCCGTTGTTTGGGCCTTATACAGTCCTGAAAAGGGCTGAATGTTTGATCCAGCCATGTTCGCGTCATCAACCAAATTCTCTCCTTCGAATTGCTGCAATTCAGACCAGAGTTTCATAATTGATAGTTCAGTGCTCTACTGAGGTGGCCGGGAAGGACACCAGGCGTGGGAAGCAACGTCACATGAGGACAGAACAATTACTACATCCGTAAACATATACCCAGTTTCAATCCTTCCGTAAAAAATGAAAACACAAGAGGATTGGAACAACGTAATGCCCGGTCAGGTGGGGTTGCATATCAAACTGGATAAGTTAAGGATTGTTTAAAGTGTCATCCGGGCCGGGTGTCCCGCCCAGCGCAGCCAGTGCACCGCCAGGGAAGAAGGTACGAAATGCTCAAAAGGGCCCGACGCAATTCATGCACGACACCATATGACATTTTGATATAAGCCGTAACACTTGTTTTCTACGTCCTTCATTTCCCTGGTTTTTTTCGTGGACATTCGCAGAAATGTTGAAGTCAGCATTGAAACTTCATGTACTGAAGAATTTTACTACATATATTCCGCTTGACCCCTGGGCATCAAGTTGAGCATTCTTTAACAACGATGGTGTAACTCATGAGGAAAATGTGATGCACAACATGCTGATGCGCCCATAAGTCAGAGAGAAACTGCAATCCAGTATATGCAAAAATAACCAAAATGGTAGCCCGAGCCAATCCTGTTTGATATCACAGCGTACAAGGCTACAAAACGCTCAAAGTACAGCTTATCCCTCACCACACACCGCGAACACATACCCTCAAGCGTGCATCTTTTCTCACACGACAAAAGAACACGGTCTTCCTGACAAAGCGCTCATAAATAACATAGCTTTCCGCCTGTCACCTATCACTGCCTCGCCGCGATCAGTGTCGCCACACTGAACTGTTCGCAGACACACCCGCGGGCAGCGCGCACGCCAACGTGCACGGTACCGAGAACCACAGACCGGCAGCGCGCGCACCAGGGACGTCCGACACCGCCTGCGGCCGCGGAGAGACAGAGCGCATCGCGCCGGGCCTCAGTACATGTCGTCAGGCCCCAGGTCAGCTGTGTACGTCAGGCCACGCTCCTTCATGGCCTTGGCACGCAGCTGCTCCTGCTGCTGGCGCGCCTCCTGCACCTGCCGCTGCGCCTCCAGGATCTCCTCCACCGTCACCTCCTGCAGGCCGACGCACGGCTCGCGCATCTCGTCCTGTCGGCGAGGCGCGGCCGGCCGTCAGCAGACGGACCACGCCCAGCACGCCCAGCACGCCCCGTTGCAGCTCAACAGACGGCGGCATGGAGAAACAACCGGAGTATTCACGCACCACGAACAAGCATTGAAAACAGCTGTAAATTCCTGTCATGTTGTTCGTGAAGGAAGAATTTGACCTTTTGCCTTTAGCGTATTGAATTTAAAAAGCCAACCATAAGACACGCGCCAGGATTTTGCAGGACATAAGGTTGGTCACAACCAAACATGGATTGTCCATTTTCTCCACATGTGCCACGGAACGATACGGTCCGACCTGACAACCATGAGCCATGAAGGGTCCAACTCCACAATCAGGCAACCTCCAACCTACAACTGGTCGAATACCTTCATGGAAATCGGGCTTGTGTGGCTCAGACCCGACCTGGTCCCAGCGCACGCGGAGTCCAGGGAAGGTCAGACCACACCCTCACGTTGGGTTATATGCACGTCAAGGCGAATGCCTTACCCTGCAGTCCACGTGGTTGTTTTGATCATCCGACATTGAGCAGTCTGCTTTTCAAAAATCGCGAGGTTGGGTTTGGTTAAACTGTTAAAAATTATCTTCCATAAATAACGTCCAAAGAAGGCGTATTTCTTTTGGCAAATACGTTTATTGCACTATGGAAATGTAAAGACAATATTTCAACCAGCTTGCTTGTACTGAACGGGAGCTTCCAGGATATTTCTACCCCTTCTTTAGCCTAGGTCAGGCAAAAGTATTAATGAAAACATATTCAGGCACGCATCAAGAAAACCCCAAAGTCACATTCAATTTAACATACCCATCCCTCTGAGGTAACGAAAGTAGAGCAGATGACCGTTAACTAAGAACACATGTGACGCACTCACAATTCGATACCAGTTCAATGCATTCCCTGTGAATGCTACCATGCCACATGGCAACTTACTGTCGCTACGCATACCTCTTAAACACGAGCAGGTATTCTACACTTCAGAATCGATTCAATAGCGACACATACGGCATATCTCAACAATGAAACCAGGTAACGCGCCTGTGGAACAGTTTGCCTACTCCGAAGCTTGCTATCACGCCCGTATTACACACTACCCCAAGCGCACTACTTGTTTCCTGTTCTCGTCCTCAAAATTCGTTATACGCCCGCTGTCGATAACCCCGGTTTTGTATTGATTCACCTAGTCCGACCCCAACGTTTGTGTGTTGACAAACTTTAAAATACAAACCGGGGGTGCCGATAGCGAATACATACCGGATTCTGAAATGCTATGACTGGAGCAGAAAAAAGTAGTCGGCTTTGGGCAATAAGCAATACGGAGGGCGATAGCGAGCTTCGAGTCAGGCAATTTGTTACACGCGTGCGTTATCTTTTTTCAATGTTGCGACATGCCCTTTGCGTCGCTATTGAATTGATTCCGAAATGCGGAATGACTTATGCTCATGTTTAGCACAAGAAGGTATGCAAGACATGTGCATTTGCACATATTATTAGCACACGTGCGCTGAGCACAGCGTATGCGCGGCGACAGTTTGTTGCCATGCGACATCAAAACATTCAGAGGAAATGCACTGGATTCGTATCTAATTATGGGTGCATTGCACGTGTTCGTTGTCGACGGCTCGCATTATCCATCCGCGGCTGAAATGTAAAATCGGTCATATTTTCTTTCGTCGCCTGAGATGGATGGGTATCTTAAACTGCATGTGAATTTGACCGTTATGAAAGTAATACATTTCATTTGTCTTACCTTTCCAACGTGTGTGTTCAGTAATGTTTGCAACACACTAATGTGTCAAAATCTTTGCGTCACAAATGCTACAAAAGCTTGAAAGACTCTGTTTAGACAAAAAGACATGCGAACGTGATGCTATTATCCTGCGAATTCAATGAAACGTTATAATATCGCTTGGATTTTTGCCCTATGGCGTTAACCACAGAGGCTCTTTCCGAGGCGCACTTTGGCTTTGGGAATGGGAGTTTATATGATCCATATGAGGCACTGGTTCAAACTTCAACCAATCAACTTGTCGGTGACAGGCCCTTGCCCGCTAAATCAATCACAAACGTTCCTTTATTCGCACTAGTAGACGCCCACGGTCGTTGTTATGGCGGTGGCCGCAACTGCAGGGAAGAAACGCAGTGCTGTTGCAAAACATTGGCAGCGTAATTTGGACTTGAAAATAATCAAAATTGATAACCTTATGTCTGGAGGGTGCCGCAGTGGCGCTACCCGGTGCTATATCAGACGCAACTGGTCCTGCGGTCTCATTAGCTTATGCTTTTGGAATATACCTCAAAGGTGGGACACTCTCATTAAAAACTTGCTGCTGCAAGTCATTAATCCATGAAACTGCACCGGCCACAGACAGCACACTTTTAACGCTGCATCATATTGATCAAGTAGTTTTTCTAATGGTCTAGGAAGGCAAAAGACAGTGAAAAGAAGCAAGAGATTCTTAGCGTTTGCATTTCCTGGATTACACCACATCTGAATTCGACCAGCTATCACATAACTGGTTGCTTTATGACGCACAAATCACGAAAGTCTAACGTGGAGACATCGCGTGATGCCCATTAGCTCAAATATCGGTCTTTGATCTGATCAGCAAAGCAACGCAATCAGCTCTTTCAATCCCACACAACTTAAAGCCCTTGGTCTTTCAGTTCGTCGTCCGACACCAACGTGTTTCTTCGCAAAGCCGCAAGCCCCTTGTCGCGCCTTGAAGTGCTAGTGCCATTCTGCGGTCAGTCACGTACGCATAACTTCATCAGCTAGGGCATGAATGTAAAACGGAAACCGTGTTTGAACTTCATCGTTCCTGAGTAGGTCCGTTGTTTTGTCCGCCAGCTGGCCGCTTATCGATGAATAAGCTGGCTTTGGTTATGAGCGCCGGGTACAGCCAATTGAGAACATGTGCATGTATTAATGCACGCGAGGGACCACACCCACCCTGGCGTCACGCGCACAGGGCGAGACACGAATTACAATGAAATGGCCTGCCGTGCCACAGTGATACATGGCAATGCGGAAAACTGGTAAAAATGAAGTTGTTGGTAAAGTGAGGTTAGCTAGGTTTTTCACCTACATGTCTTATCGTAAGCATTCCAAAATCCCCAATGGTTCAACTGTGGCAAGCAGGCGCAAGCAAAGTAGGGCGACAATATTTTCTGTTTCGCCTTATGTACATGTTGATGCCTTTTTGAAATCTGGGTATCACAATTTCATCCTTTTTCGTTTCAACAAAATCGCACCAAACTAGCAGCTCCTATTACCGGCAGTGCTGCGGAACTTCATTACAAGCGTAATTATTATTTTCCATTATAGACCGAAGCCGCCGACACACAGAAACTTACGATCAGGCCGACAACCACGACATTTTCGCCGCGGACTACGAAAATGCCGCGGTAGATGTCGCCGAATTGCTTGCCGACGTGGATGCGCTCGGTGGTCTTGTCTAGCACGAGGTTGGCGAACTGATCGACGCTGCGGAGGATCCCGATCAGCGTCCGGCCGTCGCGCAGCAGCACCATCACCTTCCCTGCGGCCACGGGCAGTGGTGACACTGGGCTGTCCAGACTAGGCGTATCGTTGTAACCGACTATTGGAAAGTGAAGCCAGCCATTCACAAGGCAGGTATTTCACAGTACTGTCACAACTACACTCACTAAACAAGTTGTATGTTGAAGTCACATGGCCATAAGGTTGGTATAACAAATCACGCACCAGCCACGGACATTTTCACTAGATTATACAACTTCGTTTCTGATTAGCAGTATCTCACAGTGAGCAGAGCACAACACACACAATGGTGTGCTGTCACATGTGCAAAAGACATTTGCTGACAAGCCTATTGAGCCAACAATATGATGGGACCATTGATGGTGGATACTTAAGACAGACAATACAAATTCTGCAAGTACAGAATGTCAAACACAATGCAGAAAAGAAATACAAATGAAGAACAGTGAGGTAAAATTGAGAACTGCTTTTAATTTGACCTGATTCACACCATGATACATCTACCCAATGGCTTGTAAAACTATTAGCCACAAAGTAGAGTGGACACAGGGGATCACAATTGTGCCTGACTCTGGGTGCAGTTGGAAGAATGACAAGTGTTGAGTCAGGATGGAATGGACTTCCTTGAATTCTCTTGTGATGTGTAGCCAGAGTCAGCAGAGTCTTCAGTGAGTTAAGCCAAAAGGACATGCAAGCAAAATAATATTGCCACATTCTAACATGTTGAACATAAACATCACATTAAGCACATTAAAACACCTTAAAATTATTCAAACATCTTGATCAAACACATTAAACATTACAGACATACACTGTTGCATTAATGTTGAAATTCATGTCCCAAGTGGGGCTTCAAAACAGTTAGAGAGGAGGTTTTCTCCTATGCTCCTGCCAACCAAATCAATTCCACATGACATGAGAGTATGAATGCCTAAATGACATTGAAGTCAGAATAAGTCAACTGCAAAATGCTTTTTTAAAAGTTGGGTTCAGTCTGAATCAACCCCAAGTGTTTTGAGCATCAAGCTTTGTGCTTTACCAAAGTTGTGATGCAATGGAACCAGATATCTGCTTGCATATAGACATGCGTCTCACTCATGCAGACATTTGCCCTTTACCAACATATAGATTAATCATTTGGTCTTGTCTAAAGCATGATTCAGTCAAAATATACTTACTGTCCAGCTCATCCAAAAGAGTGGCATGACCAAACAAAATGTCATCTGTTCTCGATGACATCCTGAAATATGAAAGACAATGTTAGGAAAGACAAATGCACATGGTTCTTTCTGCTCTTGTTGATTCTCCCTTCTTGTCAGTTATCTCCATGGTCTAGTGGAAAGATGCTCTCCCATGGTCTAGAGTGGAAAGAACTCATTTCCTGGCACTGGCACTGGGTATAAGCCACAGAACAGGTGCATGGTTCAGTCTGACTGAAATGGAAAGGTCAGCTGGCAACTGGCCAACATGGGTTAGCCTAGATCCGGGCAGCTTTCTGTGGCATTGTGAAGCATGTAAAACAATTTGCATTTCCACCTGGTTAAAGCAAACAGAAGCAAACTTATGTGCTGAACTGGTACCCATGGTTTATGTGGTGGGTTCAGGGTTCACATAACAAGGTATGCTTGAAAAGTATTATGAAGCCAAGGCTGCCCATACAAACTTTTTTGAACAAATACTTTTCTTAAAATGCTAGAAATGTTTCTGGGCCTGTGAACATACACCAGAGGGAAATAACCTTAAGAGCAATGGTACAAAATACAATGAAAAATCTTAAAGCAAAACAAGGTTCTGTAGCTAGCTCTGGTTCTGTTCCAAAGGTCAGCATGGTTCTGTAGCACATCATCACATCATCTGGACACACATCTTTTTAATGTTGTTTGTCCCCATCTTCTTAACTAAGTCTTCCTAACTATCCTTCATGAGAGAAAAAACAGGCCAGGTGGGTTTAGATTTATAACTGTAAGAAAAGACAGCACAAGAACTTGGACAGGTCTGGCATTTATTGGGCAGGCACTGGGCTTAAGTTTTGGCATTAACACAAAAATGGCAAACCAGCATACCATATTTGTGTAGGTATCCACAAAGTATTCTAGTGCCATTATACATAAATATATATACTTATATGTATACATTTGTGTATATGTATTAACACCAACATTTTTGGGAATCAAGAGTTGCTGTTAATCATCTTTCCTTTTAAAATTCCATGAAACAAACAAAATGGTGAAGTAAGCACCATTCAGAGATGAACAATCCATGGGGCAGAAACAGTATACCCAAGATCATTGCTGCAAAATGACCTGTTATGCCCAACACATCAAGCATAGCAGTAACATCTCCACACAATTCTGAGTGCATGCACACTGAAATTCCAAGTGTTCAAAGTTTGACCCATAGTCAATGCCAACTTTGGTGCATACAAAGTGAATGTTTCAAGTAATAATGATATTACTAAGTTGATTTCAGGGGAACATGCTACACAAACTTCTTTGTAAAAATGTTGCACATTGAGCGCAATCTGGTTCTGGCTGAGTTTAGGCCATGTAAGCATGAGGTTCAGCATACAGATGTTCCAGAGGCATCCTCCACATTGGAACAACTTTTGGCAAACTGTATCCAGATTAGGACTTTGAGCCTAAAGAAACAACTTGATCAATATCTGAACCCCCAGTGTATATTGATATTTAATCATTCTAACTTCAGGTTTTATATTTCACGCGAGTGCCAATTTCTATACTAGTCTTATCATCAGGGTAGAAGGCACCGGGAAAGCATCGACCCTAGTACAACCCTTCAGGTACATCACCACTTGAATATTTGTTTCATTTGAAAACCACAAAAATCACAGCTACTGACTCACGCAGTATTGGTAGTTGAAAGCTATGTCATAAGGAATTACACCGCAACGAGCTGTGCACCACCGCATGTATTTGACGGAGCCGTTGCACCCGATGGCGACCAGATACGAAGGTCCCGTGCCGTTAAAGCAGTTTTTCGGAGACCGTGCGTGCTATATGTCATAGCTGCGTAGCTTTCCGTCTGGTTTACAAGTCCCATATTTTAACAACACGTCCTCAAGAATATTTAGTACGAATGCGTACTAAGAGAAGAATGGTATTTAGTACCGATGCGTACTCAAACCTGCGGAGAAACGTACACAAGGACACCAAACAGCAAAGTCCGGTCACCCCTGCGAAGGAGTCAGTGGGCAGTATTACCCCGAAGCCCGGTAATACTGCCCACTGACCACCAGCTGACCGATCGTGCCGCGCCCTAAAAGCAACTCGCATTCAAATAGAAAGTGGTATCCCGAACTGCAGAAGATTTTCCACTCCCATCGAAGGAAAAGAAATTCACAAGGTTCGCCTCAAAAAACGTCGGTTACGCCCAAAGGCGTAGAAACGTTTCAGAATGTTGGGGAGGGGGGAAACTCAGGGCGTGCTTCAGAAGCTTTCCTGGAAAGCGAGCCCGATGGCCGGGGGCGGGGGCAATAGAGATGGAGGTTGCTATCGCTTTTTATTTAAATGTCATGGCTACTATGTTGATATGTATCTAGAGTTGCTTTTCAGTAATGCACAATCCTGCCCACTCAGCTCATCTATGTCATTCGACAAATAAGTCTGCCCAGCCTCCCAGGATTATTCGTTCATTTTAACATTGTCTTTCCTGGGGAGGTAAAAATCCACCAGCTGGTAGGCATTTTTGATCATTGAAGAGGCATCTACCTCCACAGGTTAGATGCCAAAATAAGGCCTGAGCATAGGCTGGTGAGAATGTTGAAAGTGAATCGAGCGTTCATGACTCCTCGATTCACAGTGCGACAGATTTTACATACGCCTTTACTTCGCTGGCTGCTTTTGAAGAGATATCTCGTCAAAAGCAGATGCTGCTGAGAACTGCGGCTGCTCTGCTCTGAAACGCTGCTTGAGCACTGCTCCTGGTCGCCCGAAAACAGTATATCTGCCAGCAAGATGTCCCAGCAATCAGACGCTTACGTCAAAGACAACTGGTGCTGCTCCAGAATCGTCATGGTTGGGAAAGTCATGGGTATCATACCATATGGGTTTGTGATGTTCAGCTCGTACTTCACGTACAATTCTGCCAAAATTTACAGCGAGGATTTGCTTACCACAATTATTTGTCATTCCACAAAATGAACATGGCGAGAACAAACCCACTCTATCTATTTCATTTCTCTAAACACCTTCCAGGATAAATATTAGCAAACCAAGTTTTGGAATCGTGACAAAGAAAAAAGCGTTAGAATTCTCTTTGAAGGTGGGCTGACAGTGTTTTCCCGGAGTCGGCTGTTTTTTTAGAAATCTAATTAGGACATTTTAACAAGTGCACCTATTAATGACTGGCGACTGCTTTTGTTGCCACCAGCCACAGACCATCCTTTGTAGGGGCAAGGAGGAATTGACTAAAACGACCCAAACTCATCCTGTAATGAATAAGTGTATTGGAAAGCAGCCGCTCTAAAACAAAATGATCTATCGAGACAATATCGTATTCCCATATAGACAGCTAACAGCTACTACGCTCCAGTCTCTCTAATAATGACTGATAACCGTGTCAGCATCATCCTGGGAAAATCAAATACAACACACCATTTCTGTCTCATAAGATATAGACGTTTCGCATGATTGCCCTCAGATATGATGCCATGAATGAATGAGTTTTATGCCGTTATTGTGACCGCAGGAAGACGTAACTCAAGTCGGCTTTCATACAAGTACTCCATGCAAGTGCCTTCTTGTTAAGTCTTTTCCATGCATGTACTCCGAAGGGTGCATGTTTAACGCACTTCTGCACTGCTATTCGACACATATGCCCTCATTATTTCAACCTCAGTAAATAACTTAACAAAAGATCAGTTCTTTCAGCATCGAATCGGTGTACATGAATAATCACTCACACTCAGATTTGGCACCATGAAGACTTTTATGTCTTTGTGACCTTTTTTATGTCTTTGTGACCTTTTTTTGTCTTTGTGTTTATGTTATTGTGACCGCAGGAAGACATAACTCAAGTCGGCTTTCATGCAAGCACTCCATGTAAGTGCCTTCTTGCTAAGTTTGTTCCATACATGTACTCCGAGGCAGTGCATGTGTAGTGCGCTTCTGCACTGCTTCCGAGGGCAGTAATCTGAGGTACTGAATACCCCCATTTTCAGCGGCCATCCTGCGCAACACACCGCGCTACGGGGTCTTCCGCAACAAAACGGGAAAGGTGCCAGGAAAATGGTTTCGGCGGGAGAGACTGTGACGACGGCAGGAAACATCGCGCTGAGAACGACGGCAACGGCAACACCTAACATCTGTTGAATGGTTTAGTGGTTGCCGCATCGGGCATGATAACAGGGAAGTGTATGGTCTGCGCAAGGGTGCTGTTGCCGAGGCAATTTCGGTCAAAAACATGGTGAACAAACGTTGGCCTGGTTTATTATCGATGACATGAAGCAGTCTGTCTGAAATTACGGCGGTCGATCAATCAGATGGAATATGAAATGGCAGCCGATCGGTGAAGCCCAACTGGGGCCCATCTGGGGTGGTTAAAAAGGCTCCATCTGGGATAGCTATATGGGTCCCATCTGGGCTGGCCACATGGGTCCCGGCTGGACTGGCCCGTATGGGTTCCAAATGAGTTACCCAGGTGAGTCCCAACTGGGCGGCCCAGGTGGGTCGCATCTGGGCTGCCTAGGCGGGTCCCATGTGTGTCCCAGCTAAGCTCTACAAGGGCCCACATGGGCTTCAAAGTGGGACCCAGTTGGTTCCCCATGACATGCCCGCATGGGCCCGAGGTAGCAAGACTAGGTGGGCCCTATTCGGTTGCCCATCTCGGACCCACATGGTTCCCGGTTGTAAACGTTGGATGGGCCCCATGTGTGCCCTAGTTAGGCCAAACATGAGCCCAACAAGAGTCACCTATGAACCCAGGTGTTTGCCCATGACATGCCCACATGTGACCAAAGTGGTCAGGCCAGGTGGGCCCCATATGACTGTCCAACTGGGACCCATATGGGTAACAACTGGACATGCTGGCTGGGATAAGACTTGTCGTCGCATTTTAGGCGGTGAAAAATTCAGACACTTGAAACTGTCAAAAATGCGACACAAGTTATAAAATTGAAGATTCTCTTTTATAACCCAGCCAAAGAATGAAGGGCGTTCTATCATGTATTCCCTATCTGGGCTTTGCTCCCGTCCGCCGTCGACGGCCGCTGCCCTGACCGGGCTGCCTCCCGCATGGCTGGCTGCGAACTGATCGCATGGCTGCTTCGTTGCATATTTCTGAATCAGCGTTACTGCTAATTGGTGTGTGAGACATATGTTGGACACCTGCCACAGTACGAATTATATTCCCTTACACTACACCACCGTGGCAAAAAAGCCTCCGGGAAGCTGCCTGCATTAAGTATGAATTGGTTCAACAGATATTCAGTTGCCCATCACTCAACATAGCCGACTTGATTTGCTTTTGTCTGTAGGTAGAGGCGCAGCCAGATACTTGTCATAGGGGAACACATGGTTGACAAAAGCCCATATTATGGTGAACCCTGCCTCACTAAAACACGGACACAGGGTACTTGTTAACAAGGGGTGCGGTTTTCTTCGTTTTATTGTATTTTTACTTTGTAACTGGAACAGAAACCAGAAGCTATCGTTCAATTTCGTTTGTATTTTGAAGTCGGTAAACTGCAGAATCAGACGTTGAACGTTCGCATGGAATAAATCACCGGGGCCTTTAATTTATAGTGTTTTGGTGGACTCTTTCCAAACCGATAAAATTTGTCTGTATGTTTTATCTGGGTTCTACAGATATTAAGGACATAGCGAAGGTACATTGCAGATCGATATATGTGATCGAAATTTGAAGATGAAAATTTGATTGTAGATTGAGTGGTCAATAATGTGTATGAACGTGGCCAAGCCATGTTTGCCTAGAAACGATCAACATTCAGTCAGGATCGTTTAATGATACGATCTACGTAGCGTGTATTTTAACCTGCGCGCCCGCAAATCTTAGTAACAAAAACCTCAACACCAAGCGTTGAGTTTCCATAGCGCGCGGATCGCTGGCCAAGCGCCCAACTTTTAGCCGTGGGCCACTGGTGGACGAAATGGTGACACTTCTGAAGCAATTACCTTTAAAAACAAGCACAATCGGTTTGTTACTTATAACAGTGGCGTAGTTTTGAGCATGCGCACTCGCAAATTATAGTAACAAAAACCTTGACGCCAGGCGTTGCAGTCTTCACAGGCCGCGCCACGCCAGCTTAGCAGGTAATGCTGAACTGTGGTCAACGGACGGATGAATATGATGACGCTTTAAAAAAAAGTACCTTTACACGCTTCAGGACATCAAATCTTATATTAAGACCCAGTGGCACTGGAATCTAGCGGTGAAACTGGAAGAGTAAAGGAAGAATCTCTATTCTTCATGTTTTTTTTTTTTAACTATTAATCTGTTCAGAAGAAAGGTTAACACGGCGCACGCCGTCTGGTGGCAAACGCATGTTCAAGCCTTTTGATGTGATTTGTTCTTCTAATATAGTCTGCAAATATAACTTTCTTACCCATTTCGACTCTCTTCATCCAACATAATAGGACTTCCACTTTATTCAACAATATTAAGACCCATTGTTTGCTTCCAGGCAAGGGGCCCCCTGATCAGAACACCAGGGACACATTACCATTTCCGGTCAGGGGCTCAAGGGCCACTTCGTCCCATCGCGAAGTGTCTTCTGGCTGTCATTCTGGTGACACTGGGTGGGATCCCCTGGTCGATCTGGAGGCCCGTAGAAGGGGTTACAGGACATAAAGTGAAAAACAAAAAGTTTAAGGCCAAAAGTCAAATGACAAAAAGATAAGTGACAAAAGTCAAGCAGTATAAAGGTATAATACAAAAAGGGCAAAAATCGAAAAAAGTCAAAAGCAGAAAAAACAAATGAAAAGTCAAAAGGATAACGTCAAATGCAAAATCCAAACAGCCAGAACGTCAAAAACAATAAAAGCCAAAACGATAAAAGTCAAAAGGGAAGAAGCCAAAGGAGGAAATAGTCAAACGGATGCAAGCTGAAAACGATAGAAGTCAAGCTGATGTAAGCTAAAAACGGCAAAAGTAAAAAGCAAAAAAGTCAAGTACAAAAAATAAAAAAGGCTGAAAGTAAAATGGACAACGACAAACCAGGCCATGAATATCACTTCCATAATTTTAACAGGGCCTCAAAGCACACCGACGGCCACTGGTCAGGCGTCCGCGGGAGGGGCTAAGCTGGGGGGGGGGGGGGGGGGGGGGAAGAAATGAAGGGACCCTTCCGCTCACCCAGTTGGAAAATATCATTCATTGGCTTCGTAACTCCACAAAAGGGGCATAAGCCGGGTCCAAGCTTTGGATCGAAAAAGAACCCCCTCGCATGATGAAAGCGCAGGGATGTAGTTTCCCAAAATGGTTGGGGGGGGAGGCTGAACAGTGAAAAATGCCCCGACCTACCTCAAAATGTGTCAACAAATAGGTTTTTCCCCAGATTTGACACACTTTCTTCCCAAAGTTTGGGGAATGAAGCCCAAAGAGGGGAGGGGGCTGAAGCCCCCTCTCCCAAATGAATAGGAAACCACACTGCTGGGTAAGTGTTTTAACTGACGGTGGTTTTTTGCGATGAGATGTCTTGTTGTAACTGAATAGAAAACTACACCCCCCACTAAGGACATTAAATCACAATTATTTTTCGCGACATAATTTTTTAAATCTTATCTGCCTTAGATCCCTTCAACCACAACAAACCGCGGCCATGAAAGGACATTCCTGCGACGAGTGGTTCCACGGATTTTGAGCTGTGGAAAACTTTTTTAGGTGGTTTCGGACACTGTAGACAAAATGGAGCCTCCTCGCAGAAAATAACTCTGGGTGAGGCTATCTAATGATTCTCTTGAGCTTAGGCGAGACGAAGTCAAGATAATTCGCAACATAACTTCAACGCTCTTTTCTATTCCAACTCCTCAGAATAGTACCGCACCTTTCAAATTTGGACAAAGTGTATGTCACGTTTCTCGATCATCGCGGGTTTTGAGAAGGCATAGATAACTCCAGTTGTTAGCTTACTAAGAGTAGTGACAAAAAATATTAAGTACCTACTAAAATTTGAAAACGGACTCTGTTGCTTGTAAGTCGCCTTTTTGTGATTGAACAGGCTGATGTCGTAAAAAAACAATTGTTCCTGTTAAATGTGTTTGGATGGTTTTATCAAGCCGTCCGATAAAACGATGAAGTTTTAAGAATTGTATGGGCAGATGTTGAGACTACATTGGCAACTTGATTTCCCATGGGCTCTGTGAGTAGACACATTTAGTGAAGAAGCCTCAGTGAAGTTTACGACGTGTTGCAGAGAGGGTCAGAAACACGAATTTGGATGTACTAGGTCAATTATGGGGAGAGAGAAGCAAAGAGAGAGAGAGAGAGAGAGAGAGAGAGAGAGAGAGAGAGAGAGAGAGAGAGAGAGAGAGAGAGAGAGAGAGAGAGAGAGAGAGAGAGAGAGAGAGAGAGAGAGAGAGAGAGAGAGAGAGAGAGAGAGAGAGAGAGAGAGAGAGAGAGAAAGAAAAAAGGACGCCTTATTTAAAAAAGCATGGCTTTGAGTACCAACTCATATAGCACACGTGTTTGATATACATATGAAGTTGGGTGCTACTTACTTGATAATATATATATATATATATATATATATATATATATATATATATATATATATATATATATATAGGCATTAATGAGTGATTATATGAAGAATACTTGATTTGCGTAGTCGCATACCACAGCCGAGCGTTGTGTGTGTTTATGCTCCGGGTATTTCTGCCGCAGATTGCCACTCGCTGCCTCGGAAGTAGATCTCTATGCATGGGAGACTCTTGCATTTATTTTGTTAGCCTTCGGCATAGATTTTACTTTTTGTCAGTGTGAGTTTCCATGCCCTAGGCGTTGCAAAATATGCGAGTACTTTTCCGTACGGCCGGATGTGATTTCCAAGGCTCTCTTTTGCACTTTCTTTAGATGTCGCGTCTGCTTGGCAGTGAGTTCCGCATGGAAAACCGGTGCGCAATATTCTAGTGATGGCCGAATGTAAGTAACTTACAGCCCAAACAAGCTGTTCCTGTGGTGGGTGGTACTTATTCATTGCGTAGAGCATCTATAGAGCTTTCGATGCTTTGGCTACGATCTCATCCCCATGTGCTTGCCATGACATGTTATTTGATATTGTTACACCTAAGAGCTTAGCTTTGGTGGCAATTGGCAGGCTTTGTCCTGTAGTCATGATATCCGGTAGTGCTAATTTTTTTGGCTGTGAAGAAATGCATGACTTGACACTTGTTATTGCTTAATGTCATCCTGTTTGCTGTTGCCCAATCACTTATTTTGTCAGTGTGCCCCTGCAACTGGCAGTGCCGATCTATTTGGTCAAATCGACACGTCTGGTTTATGGCAAGATCATCTACACACTTAAGTCGGTTCTCAATATCAGCAGCGGCACCATTAACCATAGCCAGGAAAGCAATGGGGCCAACTGAGGTGCCTTGTGGTGCCGCATGCTATTGTTCTCCAACGGCTCATAGTTCCATCTGGCATCTTGACCCGCTGCTGTCGGTCCTGCGAGAATGAACATAGCGACTTTGAATGCCCGGAGCGTAGTCCCACCGCCAGCATGTTCTGGAAGACCGTTATATGATCAATGAGGTCAAAACCCTTCCTAAGATCGTACATAACCATGGACAATAATCTGTTTGTTTCATCTAATTCCTTCAGCAAATCATGCAAAAGCCTGATTAAATAGTGTGAGGTTGCGGCATCTTCCATATTCCGTATTGGCGCTTGTCTATGTTTGGTTTTATGTCCGGACCAACTAGGGTGCCCAAGCGGACTGGGAAATCGCTCCCTTGCCCCCTCGCTGCTGAGCCGTTACTGACTACCTTTACACCTATAGGGTCCCTGCAGGCGTGGAGGCGGGGGGGAGGGGCATGCTGCCATATAAAGGAGGCCCAGACTGAACGCAAATGAAACACACAGGCCTCGTGGCTGTGTAGGGGCCACGAATTGCCCTGGATTTGGGCCGAAAATGTCCGCGCAATGGACAAGTTTTTTTTTAGCTTACTTGCTTCAGGGCTGCCAGGCACCCCTTTCATTTTGACTTGGGTTTCTTAGACTTGTCCTTTCTCTTTTTGCATGCAACTAGGCAAGGCGGCAAGGCGGCAAGGCGGCTTTCTCAAGGGGAGTAGGAGACAAGTGGTATGCCTATTATTACCGTTGTCTTTATCCCTTCGGTCTTTCCACAGTGTCTTTTGATATTTGACTCGCACCTTTTTCAACCTGCTACATTGACTTTGCTTTTAATTTCAGCCATCGGCTTTTTGCCTTTACTTGTTTTAGCCTTTGAATTTGTGCGCCTTTAACTAAAAAACTCCAATTTACAGCTAACCGCTTTCAACTCCCGCTTCAGGGTTGATATTTTAACTGGTATTGCGTTCTGCGATGCTTGTACAATATCTTGGGATTATCGTTTGTCAGCAGTGCGCGTGACAGACAGCATACCTTTGTGTCTTGCGTGATGTACGATTCTGAGTATTCGTTTGGCTGACAAACGTGCTGACGACAGATCGAACGCGGCTAGTGTTCGCTGTGTTGCATATGTCTGTGTTGCGCCATGCCTGTCAATGTTTTCATTCCCTGCCCTAAATGCGGCGGTTTAACAATTACAGTTTTTGTTTAAAAGGATTGGAGCGAGTCGAAGGAGAGGCGGGGAGTGAGTGTAAGGGTTGTCAAGTTTGATTGGTGTCTGGACAGCGGACTCAGGCAAAGATTGAAGCGCCCTGAGTTGCTTGAAGGTAGATGTTTATATTTCGGTGAGTACGTACTTTTGTTTGGGTCTTTGATACAATACTAGAGGCTAGGATATTGGAATGGTGGAGGGGGTCGTTTGAAATGTTACAGTGTTTATCTCAGTTTGCATGCATAGCTGCAGTAGGCATATTTTAGAGACGTTGGAGGGTGCAATTTAACCTCACTGTCATGCATCAGACATAGATAGATATTTTTTATGCATAATAAGTATATAAGAGCGTCAATGCACATTATGTGGACCCGGCTCTTCATGTTTCATGCATGCTTTGTGTGCAGGGGTGTCACTTCTTTAAGTCCAGTTTGGGGCTCAGTTGAAAAGGGTGACCTAATTTACCCCCTAAACTGATTTCCCCTGGATATTGGCCACTTGAATTTGCATATTCAATGTTAAACTTATAAGAATACTTTGTCAGTGTGGAGATAGAACATCATTTGCCTATGGTTGAATGACCTTGCATTTCAAGTAAATGTGAGCTACCTTTTTTGTGAAAAACTTGGAATGTGGTGTAATTTACAGAAATAAAAATATTAGTAAATCTTAGTGAGGAGTCTGATGATATTGTATGTCCACCATAGCTGTAATTATATGATAAGTACACTACATGGTACAAACACACTTGCAGCTATTGAGGGAAGCATGACAACAACAACTCCTAGCTGAGCCACCCTGTAGTTTTAAAGGCTACAGCTATTGCAGTAGTGTTCAGAATTCAAATCTAGGTGTTTTCATTTGGAGTTCTTTTGAAACAGCTGCAAACTGGCTTAATATATGAGGGAGTTAGCATGACAAAGTATTAAGTGCAACTTGTTTATGATTATGTTTTTTTTGGCCTTGAATGCTGTGTGGCTGTGGAATGGCAGGATTTCAATGATGTTATTATTATGTCATGAATGCCAAAATGACTGGAATACCCTCCCCGACATACAGTTCCCCATCATTGTGGGCGTGTAGCTCAGAAACTAGAGGATGCTATGCCACGATAAAGGGTCTTAAGAAGGGCGGGACTGTGAACAGCACCGAAAGGCCTTCAAGATGGCTATTTCAGTGCAAACCCCATATACATATGGAACACTCCCTTCAGCTTGATAAATGGAAGTAATCAAAAGCACAGAATGCCAAGTGTATATATGTATATAATATATTGATATATATATATATATATATATATATATGTATATAATCAAATCAAATCAAACATGTATAAGCATGCTTGATTGAAAAAGATCGCTAATGCCGCATTAATAAGCCTGTTGATGCGTCGTTCGAGGTTCTGGCCTTCCGGCTTTGCTGTGTCGGTGGAATGAAAAATTGTCCTTACAAAATCACTCAGTCGTCATACAGTCGTAGATATCTGTGTCTTCTAACTTTTCGAAGCCTTATCTCAATAGGCCGTACCTATTTCCACATGAATATAAATGGCACAAGCAATAACATTTTAAGGACGAAGGGTATGCATCGCTATCTTAAGAATATTCTTAACCACGGAGACAACAAATAATTGTATGGTTACACAGTTGTGTATAAAAAACATCCGCGTTTAGCCGATTTCACAGTGCGAATTGTGGAATTCACGGCGTTGTTGCGCGGGCTCCATCAACCGCTCCACCTCCGTCACCCCGCGGCACGTGTCCCTGGCAAGATGTGTGGTTCCGAGTCACACGTGCGGCACGGTGCCGTGATATGACTCCCCTCTTCCCCGGAGTGGTCGTCTCTGAGTCATAATGTGGCCAGCCACAGCTGGCGCCTCAACAGCGGCGGGGCCCAGTCACGGGCCTCACAGCGCCGCGCTGTCTTCGGTTCAAGGGGAGATGAAAGAGGTTGGGGGCTCTCATATTAGACGTATCTCGTAGACGGCTTTTTGTGATGCTGCAGGCCGCTAGCGGTCGGTAGCCGAACCACCAACCCTGTGTCCACCTTTTCTGTGCTGCTCAGACATTTGGTTTGAGGGCTGAAGTATGAGTCGCACTGCTGTTGTTTTGACTTGGATTGTGGGTTCAGGATGCGTTTCGCCGTGGCAGACGCAAAGGAGCCGGAATACTGCGTCACTAATGCGGGCCTCCTGACAGAGCCCCAGCCGTTCTTCCGGATGGCAGCCATCATCCCCTCGTCCGACAAGCATGTGCCGTATCCGGTGTGGCGGAGCGGGAAAGGGGATCGAGGGAGGGAGGTACATGGCGCCCGAGCCTCGCGCGGCGACACACGACCGGCGGGCTATGGTGGGTCGCCGCGTCCCCTGCGGGACAGGCATATTGCTCACGGCATCAGCGGAGAATAATTCGAATTTTAACACGCGTTTAGCAAGCGGCCTTTGGCTGATGATGATTGGGGTTTATGGCGCGCCGATTACTAAGATCATTTTGCGCACACAAAGGGCATTTGGTTCGACGCGAACAGAAGTTCTCGCTTGTCTTGTGTTTGGCACAAGCAAACATTTGCAGGTAGTGTATCGCTGCTGAACAGTGGCATGGCTGTGTCGGCAATCGTGCGCTATGTGGTGTTTGGCGTGTGTGGTATTCCGGCATGTAGCGAAGCCACGCGTCAAGATGCACGGCATCGGGACAGGCGGTTTTTGTGCTGACGGGGATGAATAGGCGACAAGGAGATGTTTTTGGTGAGAATGGATGCTCGCGCAACGGAGTCGAGACGATCATTCCAATCACTGATGCTTGTCACTGTCTTTTCTGGAGCGTGTTTTTTTGTGGCCTACGTGAAATTATGACAGAGCATGTATACTGCACGATGTCCTTGCGTAATGAAGGTAACAACTGGCCGTACCCGGCGTGTTTCGCTAACGCCTGTCCAGCGTTGCCACTATCCATTATGTTTCCATAGCTATAGTCAGCAGTTTGCGGCGACAGTGCGTCTTCCAACAGTCATGCGGCGCTGCCGGTCGCTGCTGCACTGCAATCCGTCTGTCACTCCGGACACACGGCACTGCACTGTCGCAACCGGCAGCTTCCTGGTGGTCAGTGCACGGCAGGGCGTGTCCACAGGCTCTGCAGGCTCAGGGTATCCACTCCAACCCGACAGGCTTGTGGTCAGGTGGCGACGACAGATGGCAGTGCCGTCAGAGCTCAGGGTGTCTGCAGGCTCAGGCTGTCTGCTCCAACCCGACAGGGCTTGTGGTCAGGTGACGACGACAGGTGGCAGCGCCGCCAGACCGCCGGATGTGGCGCCGGTCAGATTCTGCTTCACACCCCGCCTCGGTCAGCGCTGGGTCAGCGGCGCCGTCAGACCGCCGGATGTGGCGCCGGTCAGACTCTGCGTCACACCCCGCCTCGGTCAGCGCTGGGTCAGCAGGCTGCCATCGGTGGCCATCGGCGGCCAACGACTGTGTCGCGGAAGCTCGCCCCCTCCCTCATGTCAATGTGATCCAGGCGGTCGATGTGTCAGGCGCTGGCAGGTGCACCCGGAAGTGACGTCACGAGCTCCGATCTTCACCTGGGTCACCACAACCCCGATGCGTGTGGACCGTACAGAGGCGGAGTAAAGTGGGCTTAATCCTCTAATCCCTTGGCGGCGCTGGTGGCTAGTGGACACGCTTTTGGCAAATGCTTACAATTTAGGACTAATTTTAAGTGAAGCATTTGAAAACATTCCATTGTTTATGCAGTAGTAAGAGAACCCGAGCTTCGCACTACCACAAGCAATATTTAAATATTATGGTATTATTCTAATATTACTGATGTTATTATAATATAATCATGATATTTTTTGAAGGAGCCAAGTGTGCGCGTAGTGTTTGCATTGTGTTCTTCTCCATCTGCACTCTTGATGACTTTTTGTAGGCGACACGCCACAAAACTCCTTTCCATCTGCGCTTCTCGAGAGCAGTGTCAGAAAGTGACCCGCCGGAGCAGGCAAGGCAATTGACACGCCTGTAGATTCGTGATGTGTAACGCTATTGATGAGGTTCCGGCTATTCGGGAAACGATCCAGGTACTGGGGAAATAAGATTGTAAGGATGACAACATGCTGAATTTGGCCTAGGGGTCTGGACGAAATCGGTGGGAGCCCTTCATTTCACTGAGAGACAGTGATAACTTTGCCTTGTTTCAAGGAAGGGTTTCCACTCTCATGTGATCACGGCATTTGGGGATGGTCTCAGAGAACCTTGAAACGGCGTGGAGAGCCGTTACCCATAGCACTCTAACAGTCCCTGATGGCCTCGCTGATGAAACTCCTCCAAAAAATGTTTGAGAACCCATCCCGGTATCAGATGAGCCTCTCAGAAATTCGCCGATACCTCCGTACATATCAAGAAACCCACTTTGTTTTCACATATCCTTGAAGATTCTTCTCAGAGAACCCCACACTATCTTCAGTGCTTTTGCAGAGCTTCAAGCGATCCTTACGCGTGTGAAAGATTGCCATACAATCGTGGGAGATACACATGATCGACACATTTACAGGATTGTAGTATGAATTACTTGAACTATAAAGACGAAAACGAATGCGTTTTCGTTGATATACCTTAATTCTCTCGTATCTGTAACCACAAGAACACTAAGCAGCTTTGCAATCATGTAGTCATAACCGACGCATACGCACTGTCATGACTGGCGAACAAAGTGACGTTGTCTTTAAAATGAGGGTGACGTTGATCGCAGCAGGAACGTTCCGGAATAAAACGTGAGACGGGGCTACTTGGGTTGACACAGCGTGGCCATTTGGAGACACACACGAATGCTGACCTTGGCACCTGGCGCCTCCGAGGTCCGTGTGCATTACTAATCTGGGCGCACACTGGAATGCGATCACGACCGCTTTGGGGAAAAGCACTGCTGCGTTACTACGTCAGCAGATGAAATAAGGGGTCTCGGTAATCACGACCGGCGGGAAAACCACTGCTGTTTTAATGTCAATGTCAAACGGCCGTCAAAGCACTCGCGTAATCATGAGCGACAAGATGCGCTGGATTGCATAAACATGAGCTGCGGGCATAACACTGTCCTTGCTATCACAA